ATAAGTTAACGCATCGGGTAAACTTAGTTTGGAGTGGATTTGATAATGTTGATATACCTACGATCCAGATAGTTCATAGGGAAAAGCTAAATTATTAAAAGGTATTCAGTTCGGCCATGTTCGGCAATGTTTCTTTCATAACAAATAAAATGATTTCCTGGAGGACTCTTATTATCCAGGTTATCTCAAGATGATCCAATATGACTATACAAATTTGAAATGTTTTTTAACACGCTTATATTCAATCTGTTGTTGGTGATAAAAAAATGTCAGTCAAATCTTGTAACCAATTTTTAGACCACATCTAATCGTCCGATTGATTTGTAATTTGGCAGGTGTACATAATTCCGGTGACAATGCATTATGGCATTTTTGTTAGAGAAAAAAACAGAATGGCGGCTCCAATATGGCGGTCGAGGTTTGTAATTATAAGCCGATTCTATTCAAAATTGGTTTCTAGGGGTTTTTGAGGTCAAAGATGATGGTTCTTCTGTCGAAATTGAAACATTCAAGATGGCGGCTCCAATATGGAAGACGAGTTTCGTAACTATGATCCGATTCTATTGAAATTTGGTATCTGGATATTTTCGGGGTCAGAGATGATGGTTCTTCTGTCAAAATTGAAAAATTCAAGATGGCGGCTCCAATATGGCGAACGAGTTCTGTAATTATGATCCGATTCTATTCAGAATTGGTTTCTGAGGTTTTCGAGGTCGGAGATTATGATTCTTCCTTCAAAATCGAGAAATTCCAGATGGCCGCTCCAATATGGCGGATGGGCTATGTGATTATGGACGATATCAATTATTATGTCACTGAAAATAATGTAAGAGGTCGAAATATGAATGCGGTGGTACCAAATAATGGAAATTTCCACGGATTCCAAGAAATTTCACTGAGAATGTACGCGTTAAAAAATACTTTTTTTATGTTAGATGAACTTCAACATTTACTCGACAATTATTGATAACAATAGTTGCTATATTTTTGATGTTCAGTTGTCGATTTATTCTAGTGGCACTGCTAACTTAATATAAAGTTAGCAGAGCCACCCCATATAAAAAAAAAACTAGGAGCGCGACAATTTTTTTTTTCTTCACGACAAATATGTTTAGGTTATTCGACAATTGTTTGATGAATTTCAGAGCGGAGAAAATCAAATTAAAGATTTTACACATCAGTTTCCAGAAAGTCCAATGAATATAACAGAGCTATAAACAATTTTTTGTTGATTTTTTTACGTTAAATAGACTTCGACAATGAGACGACAATTTTTCGTACCAACAGGTCAAGCGACAAATAGTTTTTGCCACCCTATAAAAGTTATGGGATTTCCTAAATGTAAATAGAAATCAACAATTTACATGGGTGACTTTTTTTCTTCTTTTATTCATCATTTACAATGATTTTTATCTGATCTATAGAAGAGAGAAAACGAAACATATAGATATCTATCAATTATGTCACTGAAAATGATGTAGGAGGTCAAAATAAGAATGCGGTGTTGCTAAATACTGGAAATTTCCACGGATTCCAGGAAATTTCACTAAAAATGTAAATATACGCGTTAAAAAAACACTTTTTTCGCATTTTTTTGTGTTAGATGGACTTCGACAATTACTCGACAATTATTGATAACAAAGTTGCGATATTTGATGTTCAGTTGTCGATTTATTCTAGTGGCACTGCTAACTTAATATAAAGTTAGCAGAGCCACCCCATATAAAAAAAACTAAGAGCGCGACAATTTTTTTTTCTTCACGACAAATATGTTTAGGTCATTCGACAATTGCTCAATGAATTTCAGAGCGGAGAATAATAAACTAAAGATTTTACACATCAGTTTTCACTGATAACAGGAAAAGTCACTAAAAATGTATACATACGCGTTAAAAAATACTTTTTTGGATTTATTTTATGTTAGATGGACTTCGACAATTACTCGACAATTATTGATAACAACAGTTGCGATATTTGATGTTCAGTTGTCGATTTATTCTAGTGGCACTGCTAACTTAATATAAAGTTAGCAGAGCCACCCCATATAAAAAAAAAACTAAGAGCGCGACAATTTTTTTTCCTTCACGACAAATATGTTTAGGTCATTCGACAATTGCTCAATGAATTTCAAAGCGGAGAATAATGAACTAAAGATTTTACACATCAGTTTCCAGAAAGTCCAATGAATATAACAGAGCTATAAACAATTTTTTGTTGATTTTTTTACGTTAAATAGACTTCGACAATGAGTCGACAATGAGTCGACAATTTTTCGTAACAACAGGTCAAGCGACAAATAGTTTTTGCCACCCTATAAAAGTTATGGGATTTCCTAAATGTAAATAGAAATCAACAATTCACATGGGTGACTTTTTTTCTTCTTTTATTCATCATTTACAATGATTTTTATCTGATCTATAGAAGAGAGAAAATGAAACATATATAGATATCTATCAATTATGTCACTGAAAATGATGTAGGAGGTCGAAATAAGAATGCGGTGTTGCCAAATACTGGAAATTTCCACGGATTCCAGGAAATTTCACTAAAAATGTAAATATACGCGTTAAAAAAACACTTTTTTCGCATTTTTTTGTGTTAGATGGACTTCGACAATTACTCGACAATTATTGATAACAACAGTTGCGATATTTGATTTTCAGTTGTCGATTTATTCTAGTGGCACTGCTAACTTAATATAAAGTTAGCAGAGCCACCCCATATAAAAAAAACTAAGAGCGCGACAATTTTTTTTTCTTCACGACAAATTCTCGACAATCATTCGACAATTAATGGCATAGTTTTTATCGATTTTCATGCAAGTGGCTTTGCTAACTTTATAGAGGTAAAAAAACGTCAACTTGCAGTTTAATTCCGGAATTACCTTATCACCCATTTGTACAGGACAGCTATGAGGAAAACAATGAAATTTACTGCAAGGGAAACGACAAATTAACCAATTTAAACCTATCATGTAATATAACTTGTGCTGAAGCAAGCATAAACTTACCACGATAAACAACTTGCAGACAACCGAATAACAAAGGAAGGCATACGAAGAATACTTGATATGCTCGACTATCAAATGAATAACTATGCTAATGATAGAGGCATATCACGTATTTCAATCGAAGGAAATGTCTTGGATGGAAGTGCAAGGGCCTGTGACGAAATTGAGGAACTGCTGACCAGAAAACACAGTGTCACTAAACAATCTAACAGCCAGAACATTATCAAGAGAAATTCGAGCTTCACTTAGTCCTGCTTAGTCATACAAGTCGAACGAGAATATTTATAGTGTTGATAGGGTCCCCAAGCGAGAATAAATAAATAAAAACAAGTTCAAATTTACCGCCTAGATCTATTAATTTTATCATCCAAGTAGGGGGGATAATAAGAATCCAACCTGTTGCAAATATCTACCGGTAATTTGGATGAACTCACCTGCAACGACTGTTGAAATATCTTTGAATAATAGGTGCTCAGCAAGAATTTAATGAGGATTGACATTCACATCATCACATCCAGCTGCGATTACCACACCCCCCGCATTTCAATCAGCTGATTTGCTGACTACATAAAAAATCAGCCATGCCATAAGGGCACTCGCGGCAATGTTGCCACATGCCGTAGTAAATCTGTAAACAGTATACAATTTGTTTAGCCATTAAATGAAAACCTAGAGTAGGCGACCTAGGTGCGAAGAGGTATGTATAGCAAATTCCACAGTAGACACAGACACAGTATCAGTATCTCTGTAGTGTCCAATGAACTCAATACTACATACAGTTCATTGGTAGTGGACTCTGGTTACTTTGCACAAACTACCGTACGACATAAAACTGGAAAAAGAGATGACCTTATATAATATAACTACAGACCGATTTCAGAGTTTTCCCGATCTTCTCGAAAAATATTGAAAAAATTATAAATAAGCGTATTCTTGATTTTCTTGAAAATAATGGCCTACGGTCTTTTATACAGTGGTCGTCAGTGGTCAATATGGATTTCGCAGATCGAAAGACACTGAGATGTAGAAGAGTTATGGATGTTATTTCGGATATTCAGTTTAAAATTGATCAAAATTGTAAATGTATGATCTTTAGATTTATGTAAAGCTTTCGATACTGTAAATCATGATATTTTACTGAGTAAAATACATTCAATAGGTATACCATTGGAGAAATATTTGATTGCTTAAAAAAGTATCTGGGAAATATAGAAAGCAGTACGTATACGTTGATGTTGATATTTGTAGCTCCATAAGGGAGATAAAATGTGGTGTACCACAGGTCCCGTTTTAGGTCCAATTTTATTTTTAATTTACATATCAATTCAATATATCATCTTCGGAACTGAAAGGAAATCTAATAAGTTATTTGCATCAATGATACTGCAATAATCTATATTCCTCTAAAGAATTTAATGACATAATTGATGATATTAAAATTGACTTGAAAATTATATCATCATCTTTTGGCTACCGATTCATAAGCCGACTCTTAACTATATGACAAATCTACGCGTATATATGTAGATATTTCAAAAATAAAAACTGATATATCGATAACAACAATATTTTTCGACCAGAAAAGCCAGAAAATATATTCAGATTTATATTGATGATATATATAGATCACCTAAGAAAAACGCTAAATCCAATTACAATAAAGAACAACAACAACATCGCTGATAAAATCATGTCATTAGAATATGGAAATATGAATTCCTATTTTTTATGATGAAATAATAACTATCAATAAAAAAAAATGTGGTACCGTACAGAAGAAAATTTATAGACGGCAACAGTGTTCAGAACTCCGAGTGACACGGACACGGGACACGTGAGACACGTCTGGTCTGACTCGTCTGACAGTTGTGTTGTGTAGGCAGAAGCGGACTTTAGAAGTTCATCAACCTTGATAAACCGTTCAAAATGCAATAATATTTTATCTAATAGCAGAGATCTAAGTATTAGTCGATCAAATATTCAAAACCACATGATTGTCAACATCATCATTTTACTAACCAGTATTTTAGCAACAGGAACTAACGGGCAAATGGACTCTAGGGGAAAACATATGGTTTTCGTGTATGGTACTCTTAAAAAAGGAGAACCGAACCACTCGTGGTTTTCAAAAAATGCTGGAGGTTTCTACAAATATCTGGCTGATGCGAAAACCACAGAAAAATATCCTCTCATCATAGCAACCAAATACAACATTCCATTCATTTTAGAGAGTCCAGGTCAGTACTAGACAAATTTGGGGCACATACATTTAGCTCCTATTTTTTCCAGGGAACGGCACAAATGTTATAGGAGAATTATACGAGGTAGACGACAAAGTAATGGCAGATCTAGATATCCTTGAGGATCATCCGAATTTTTATAGAAGAAAATTGTATGACGTTCTTACATTGAATGGCCAAAATACAACATCTAAAGCTTGGATTTACATGATTGAAACGTTCAATCCAGACTTACTAAATGAAACATTCTTTGAAAATTACAGCAGTTTAGGGAATCACGGGAAAAAATACGTGGAAAGGTACTCTAGAGATAGTAGCTATGATTATAGACGAGAACTAGGTTCTGCATAGGATTTAAGAATTGACCTGAATTGATTGTATTTTCATTGTAGTGAGTATTCAACACTGGATGATTTGAATTTGGGATAAAAAGTTGGGTCAACCGTCTCTCAAGGAATTGTCTTTTGTTTTAATGTTCCCTGTTTCTGCATGAATTTATTAGTCACTGGAAATGTTAGTTATCTAACAATACCATCCAGTGAAGAATTTATATCATACACTACAGAGTTTTCTAACATTTGCTTTCTTGTGACGAGGATCAATAATCAATGAAATCTGTTTTATTAGTAGTTGGATAACTTGGATAATCGATCTAAGGATTATAAACGTTGACCAGAATGAATAAATGATGATATACAACACACTCAAATCAGAGATTGTTGCTTATGCTCCAAAAACAAACATTCAACCTAAGTTCTGTCCATTTGTGCTTGCTCTACCTGTTGAACTAGATTTTTTTCTATGACCTGTTTACATCAACCCATGAACAGAGACTATTATGGAAAAAAATCAACTTTAGCAACTTTAGCAATACAAAGGAAGCCTCTAACAACTATCTGCACTACACTTCTCACACCTCTTACTGTTTTGGCGATAAATTATATGAAGAACACAGTGTGAGTGTACACCATATAACACCGAACTGTATCAGTGCTACACAATCTACTCTGGTGTACAGTATTATTATAGTCATTGGAGGCACAACTACCAGACCTCTCATTTTTAAGGGTGACTTTATAGCTTCAAAGTATGTAGAAATCATATATCATTCATTTATAAATGCTGATGCTGCAGTCTCATTATGTTCAGAAAAGACAATTCGCAATAGAAAATAAGCGTACGCCACCTATCGGAGTACTTGAAAGATGTCAAAGCGGCATGCTTATTTTGTTTTCATTGGTTCACATTTGTTTCATGTTTGTTCTTATTGGTCATATCAAACAAACCGCTCAGAAGTGTTCAAGTTGCTGCCGTCAGGAGGAGCGACGTGTCATTTTCTATGGTGAATATGATCAAATTAATTTAAGATTGTTTATTAGTTTTGTGGATTGTTGAAGAAAAATGAGGGTTATTTCAAATCTTGGAAAACCTAAAAAGTCGATCATTTATAGTGTCTTTTTTCTGAAGAATATTCAGTATTTCTAGAAATGTGGTATACCTAGATACTGGATATAAAAATATGTTTTTTCACATGAAGAGAGAAAAGTCTGGAGAAGGAAATAATATATAATTTCATTTGTAAAAAACGTAATGTTTAAAAATCAATAGATGAAAACACATCACTGATTTCAAAGACTATGGGAGACAATGGTAAATTCCATTCCAACAGAAAATTTCAAAAATGATCAACAAATCTATGCACAAATTTTCAAATATTCATCACAAACTCAATTTACTCCATCAAGAATCAATGATGATACAAACAAATAAAGTTCCTGATTTCCCACAGATTAGAATCTAAAAAAATCCTATTGACAGAGTAAATCAAGCTAGACTGGATTCTTGAATGGCCACCCTTGAATACAAACATGTCCCTAGATTGCATTTAAATCACTAGCTATCATTACTGAGAGAATTATAACGGTTGCCGAGGCTCAGTTTGGGGCCTTGGGCAGAGTTCAGCTTGGATTGCTCTGCCTGTCTGTACGAAGTTGACCGATTTTGTTGCACCACTTCAAAAGCACCTTCACTGCGGTTTCTAGAAAAAAATCAGTCAATAAAATTGTATCCCTTCAGAAACAAGGAAAGACATGAAAACAAAAATTATGATAATAATAATTCAAAGTTTATTTTCATCCTAGTTTCCAATATCTAGGTAATCTAATCTTTATTGTAGATTCCAAGAAACACAATATATGTTTATGATAGGGAGGCATAACAATCAATATGTACATTAAAAAGAATGGGACAAAAAAATAACCAACTAAGTAATACCTAGACATTGAAATGATAAAGAAACATAATTTAAATATATGATAATAGTCAAATTTGATTTCAGTAGCTGATGTGATAAAGGTACTTGATTTCATTTATTTTAGGTCAATAATAAATATTTTTTCAAATTGTTTTTGAATCTGCTCTTTCATGTTCTTCATTCTGGTGGGGAGAGAATTATAAAACTTGATGAAATTATGGTAGATGGACTGTTGAATCATCCTAGACTGAAATCTACTTGTAATGGGCGTGTACACCTTAGTAGAAATTTCAACTCAAACCATGTTTGATCCTTGATCCTTTTATACATAAATAATGATTGACGACATAGATGGAAAAATCAACTGGAATGTTTCATTTTTGGACATAAATAATAGTACCTTCTGAAAACGGACCCTCTTATACCCTCTTATGACATAGAAACCTCATCTTGCCATAGTTAAAAGAAAATACCAAATATTAATTCTTTCAACTGTGATTTAGCGCTAATTCACTCTGTCAGAAATAATGTATCATTTCATCTCTGTCTGGAATAATCGTATTAGGGTTTTGACGTCACATCATCGCCTTGTTTTCAGAGGTCCGAAAAATCGGGGATTTCAATAATTTTTTATGAAACGTAGGGAGCTCACAGCAAGAAACGGTTTGCGGTGGTGAGCTAGTTTGGGTGAGTTCTATCAAATTATGAAATACAATTTTTTTGTGATATAAGCCCATTGAGCTATGTAATGGCCTATTATTGTGATAATGAAGTGACTGAGTTTCTTGTATCTCTATATTAGATATTTTCATTTTATTCCTTCAAATCAACTAAAACATTTGTTTTGCTTCAATTTAGTGTGTTCTAAATATGGCTTTTGATAAATACGTTTCACAGTATTATTTTGAAAAGATACTAATGGTTTCAATATTGATTTTCTTGCACTTCCCTAAATGGATATTAAATATTGTAATTTCAAATAAATGAGGCAAAAATATATGTTATTCAAATGTTTTTTATTGATATATTTTCTTATTATGAATAAAATTCCAGTTATTGGGTTCAGTTTTTTTCTGAGGATTTCAATGTGTTTTCTACAAATCAATAAAGAGTCCTAAAAATGTTGTAGTTGTGTAATCTATGTCATTATTTTTGTAACTAATTGATTATTTTGTGGGTATGTGTCTCATTGTTTTTGTGATATCCATGAGATGATTTTTTGAAATTCAATATCAGTTTATGAGTCTGCAGCCAAGATGATAACATTTCCAGATGTGATTTTAAATACTTTTACACCATCAAAATTGTTAGCAAAGTAAATTATAGGGATAACCTTTCCTGCAGCACCAAGCATTAAACAAAATAGAGTAGTATCCTCTGAGAATAATTTCAGTTTACCTTTCAGTTTGAATTTTGAAACTGAATTCATGTAAAGTAAAAATAATATTGAATCCAAGATTGATCCTGTGTGGAATACCACATTCAATATCTATCATAGAACTTTGAATCCCATTATAATCAACAAATAATTTTTTAACCACTGGTGGAAATTTGGGAATTGTTTTTTTGTCTCTCTTATGGTTTTCTCAACTAATTAATTTCTGAAAATATTTAGTAAGTCTTCATACTCATAATTAGGATTTTCCTCGGGATTTTCAAATCCACCAAGAGTATAACTGTGATTTTGCAATCTATTCCAAAGTTTATGGATGTCAAATAATTTAATTTTGTTAATGAAAACCTTTTTTTTATTGTATTCTGTATATGAATATGAGAGAGACTCAGTCATCATACAAATACTAACTATTAATTTATTCTATTCCCAAAAGATTTTTACAGTTAAGTAAATATTGTGTGATAAAACAAAGATCTTACCTTTTGTAGTCTCCAGTTTTGGATAATCCAGGGAAAGATTCCTCATTGTGTATATCAGGAGCAACTTTCGACCTGTGCCTCAAAGGAGCAACCTGCTGTCCACCCCCACCTCCTGGGGTACTCCTCAGACGAGGGGCCACATAACTAGATTTACTCTCACTAGGTGCTGGTGTTGGTTCAGGTCTCTTCTCTTTGACCACTACCACCTCTTCCTGCACCTCATTGGGGTCAATTCGCTTCCAGGGACCTGATTTTTTTTCCATTTCCTGTCCCATCTCATCTTCTTTGGAATCCTCAGAGTTTGGTTCCTTGGCACTCTGGTTACCATCTGAGTTGGCTGTGATGGCTAGGTTACCGATTTTCAGGCCGGTGTAATCTTTTTTCTCTTCCTCAAAGTCCTTCCACTCATCTTGTTCCTGAAATGATACATCAATATGGCTACTCTTTGATCTTAATGATGGTCTTGTGATCAGTCATTCTGTGTTTTGTTTCTAGGTTACTTACGTGGATTGGCGCAGAGGAATCGACTTCTCCTTCAGGAACACGTTCCTTTTTTTGTTTTTCAGTCTTTCTCGCGGTATCTTCTAGTTTTTTCGCTACCTCTTCGGTGGTAGCGAATTTTTTTGTGGTTTTCGACTTTTTACGGTCTTTTTTGGCGAAGAAATCATCTAAATCTGCCATTTTCTGGAATATTAAGAAATGTTGAGCATACAATGGAATAAATTTGGCGAGAACTTATGAAAATCACACCTTTCAATATGCACAACCAGACCAGAAAGAAATGTCAGAATGTCACCTATGGGCTTAGGTACCTGTTTTATCGACCGACATGACATATGACAGGATGTCAGATCAGGTAGTGACTTTCCTAATCAATTTCCTAATTTTGAATTTCGCAAACGATTTTCAATTCATTTAGGAAGGCCAAATCAGATATAATATAGTTATTTATGTATTAAGGGAATTATGAGGGCCTTAATTACCGATGGCAAAGTTTGCGTCCCGAGGGCCTCTGGCCCGAGGGACAGCAATTGCCTGAGGTTATTGAGGCTCAGTAATTCCCGTGATACATAGATAATTTTATTTCTAACTGATTTCATTCATTAGATACCTTCCCGATTGGAAGTTAGACATGTTTTTCCGTATAGTTTCAATGTCATCAGAACGTCAGATGATGATCTTGACTACCGCGAATAGGAGATTCCTTATTGCTACGTTACTGCGTGGTTGTTGCTATGCATTTCTTATTTAATTTTAGTTAGAGGGAATTATAGCATCTATAACATCCCAAGGGAGTTATGACCCTCATAATAGATATCGTAACTATGACGATATAAGCTTATAATGTCACTGTCAGAAATAAAATCCTTTACAGCATAGCAACTACAGGAGACCATAAACAAACTAGAGTGTAGTTTAGGTATCTATGCAGGAGACTAATCTCATTCTTTCTATTTTTTTGATTAGGCAACCATACATACATCAGAATTTGCCACACTTTTTTGCCACCCCCACCCATCAAGCATTTGAATTTGAATTTAAAATCAAAAAATCATATTGAAGTGCTGAAAATGGGAATGGTTTCACAAATTATTATCAATTGGAATTGATTAGAATCTTGGAAAATAGGATAAAGATAAGATAAACTGATAAGAATATCTAGAGTTTTTACAATCAATATATTAATGTGACCCTATAATATACAGTTCTGATTAGGTATGAAACTAACATTTGTTAGGAAACAAAAATGATTTTACTTGTTATATTTTTCACCATTTCAACATCAGTATTTGGGGACGAAAGTATATTATGCTCCCCCAGTGTTTGTGATGTGGGTATATGGAAATGTTTCATTTTCTGAATTTTCATAATCAAATAATTCAATATCATTATGTTTGTAGGGAGTGAAGTGCCCAACGCTTCCAGAAAAATGTAATATTCAAAATGCCACTCACAGTGGAACATTCCTTCCATCCCCAGAAGCTTGCAATTGCTGTCAATACTGTTTGGAAAATTTGAGTAAGCAATTCATGTTTTTCGATTTTCTGTTGGGGTATTGCTTTTATTACGACCTTGTGTGGATAATGACTCTATATAGATCCTTCAAATAAGACTCTGTCTGTTTTTTGTAGTTATACTGCATTTCATTTCTATGACTTGAAACACACCTTTTTTGTTTTTGTAGATGAAGGAGATGAATGTAGCATTGGATATCCCTCTGCACCCACTCCAACATCAATTTGTGGCCCAGGATTAGCTTGCAAGCTTACAAATGGAAACTTATATGATGGTATTTGCTCTAGAAGTGAGTTGGTGATATCATTCATTGTGCATTAAATAGGGCTTCAAATGGCAACTTAATTTCAGTGATGACAACTTGCACACAGCTTCAGGATGATTATGATGAGAGGAGGAAAAACGGTCCGAATCTGGGTTCAATGGAAGTTCGTCAAACATGCACTGATGAGGGAGAATTTGCCTCATATAAGTGTATACCAGGTCAAACGTAAGTAGGTACATGCATTGCTATATCTTCCTGTTGAGGACAAGAATGGAAATGATGAATACTGTTTGCAATTGCATTCAGATCAAAGATCAACGGAAGCCCCAATAAAAGCTCCATCCAAGTTCTAACTTTATCATTTATTTTGGCATATCATGTGTTTGTTTTAATTTGGAAAATTTTGATTTAGTAGCTGGATGATGAAATTCTATTATTATTCATCTATCAATCAACATCACCAAATTAAATTTTCCCATAGAATACGTCTATGAATTTTCCAAAGTTTAAAAAAAAATAAAATAAAAAATAAATAATAATAAACAACAAACATCCAAATGTGACCCACAGTGTCAACTGTCAAGAGCATGTCAAGAGTATTAAGTCAATCAAGTGTCAACAATCAATAATGTCAAAATTGTTGAAATTTCATTATTTGAAAGTCAGTCAGATTATGGAAGTGGCTAACATATCGACAGGCCGGTATTGTTGTAGCTGTAGAGTTGTAGACGAATTCAGTAGTTGGTATTCAGGAATCAGGATCCCCTTAATTTCCCTCAGTATATCACTGGTTTTTATGTATATTTTTTTTCTCAGATGTTATTGCGTTGATATTGACGGTACAAGAATCTTCGGGGAATCAGATTTCACATCCCTTCCTGAAATGCAAATGCAATGCAGTAAGTATAGCAGTTCAAAACTGCTTCAATGCAACAAACATTTTGTTATTCTGATCATGTTTCAGAGTGCTCTAGGGACTACCAGCAAGCCAAACAATTATTCGGCAGAGAGCTGAATCCCAGCGAACATTTCAGGTGCTCCTCGAAAGGGGACTATGACACTATTCAGTGCATGAGGGAACAGTGTTTGTGCACTGACGCCACTGATGGGGCTCCAACTTACCCGAACGACCCTATGGTCAATATTCGGAACATTTCTAACCAGACATTAGGATGTTGTGAGTTTTTCTCTAAATGCAGAAATTATTATGGTCACAGGGTATCGCATTTATGATGTAGTCATGCTAACGCCATCTAGTGGATGAACAGAGGAGGAGCAAGACACTACCGTACGCAGAGATTAGGGGAGTATATAATCTCTGCCGTACGGTATTGTCTTGCTTCTGCTGACAACTGGGGCACTTTCTAATAAGGAGTCGTAATAAGGGTCTCCACATGTTGACTATAGATTTTTTTTATGTTCTGGTTCTCACGAAAAGGGATATCCTGTAATGTTCAGAGAACATCGTGAGAACCAAGGGAAATATGCCTCGGGGAACACCTCCCTTGGCAATGTGTTCCAGAGCCTCGCTGTTCGTTGGATGAACGAGTCTTTGGAAAGAGATATGTTCAGCAGGTCTCCAAGTTGACCACGAAGGGGTGCGAAGCCTCAACTCGACGGGTAAATCTCGCGGGGACTACCAAGGAAGGAACAATTGTTGATATTTCAGAAGAGTATCGTCCATGAAAATATTTATAAAATAGAGCCAGATCGCCAACTTTTCTACGATGGCAGCGTCATGCTGTGTATGACGTACCGAAAGCAGAGATAAGTTACCAGACTAACTTATCTCTGCCGAAAGGTTCAACCTTAGAACTAACGCCACTAGATGGCAATAGCATTACTAAATCATCATGCAATACCCTGCGCGTCTTCAAACTGGGTGATATCATAAACAAACTACACTCTATGGGTGATATACCTGAAGCCTTTGAATATTCACACTAGTAGTGTAGAATTGTTCCAGTTGTCAGCAAACCGAGAGCGGCTGATGTGGCCTGGCGGGCCGAAACGGTGCTGTTTCGCTGCTGTGACAATTGGGGCACCCATGAGATAATTGGTCTATGGGGGCAACTCTGTTCATCCTGGATCACTTATTAGTTATGAGATCTAGATCAATGAATAAATATTATGGTTACTCTTACTCATCTTTCTTTTGGTTCCTATTTCTAGATAAGGGAGACACGGTAGGCATTTATCTCAAGAAATGTGAGGAGGAATATATTACCATTCTTAACGAAACAGAAACACAGAAGATGAAAAACAACTACAATATGATATTGGGCTACACATTCCCAAATTGTGACATTGATGGGACATACAAGGCAGTTCAGGAAAATTCGACTCAGTAAGCACATCCGTATATATCTAAATACACACTCACATCATACAATGATGTAGTGTTAAAGATATGTTTATGATAATGAAATGTCTCCACTTTTCAGCAAATATTGTATGGACAAAGAGGGAAACATTTTGACAGCTTTGAGCAAAGTAGATAACAAAACCCTGGCAGATTCAATGGACTGTAGTGAGTTATCCAGTCTTTTGGTCTTTGTTTCAATATCACTGAAATTTCATGCATTTTTAGAATGTTTGAGGGCTCTAAGTGTTATGACCACTAATGAGAAACCATCTTGTTTGGAAAATGGAAATTACACTCCTATGCAGTGTAGAAGAGGGAGTTGTAGATGTGTAGACGGAAATGGAAATCAAGTATGCAAAGCAACACCCTGTGAAGTGAATGAAATTGATAAAGACACATTGAAATGTTGAGATAATCTTTGAGCTGTTGTCAAATCTTGGTTATTTCCTATTAATAATAAATTATTCTTAATGATCAATAAAAATAATATGGATCTCCTTTAGACCTAAGCTTTAGACCCAAGGATAATATACCTAATCTAATGATATAAACCTTGCTTTAGACCCAGCCACATAGCTGACAATTTGTGGACCACCGATCGGTCGCCTAGACAGATTCTTTTTTGAAGAATCGAAATCTTGCGCATGCGCGTTTTGCTTCTGCTAATTTTCCATTTACCACCTCTTCCCATTTCCCAAACAAATTCCCGATAATTTTGGATTCTCGTGGGGGATCCGGCCGGAATCGGGAACGGGAGTCGGGATCGGGAATATGATTAGTTGCGATTCGATGGAGCATTTGTGAGGGTGTCCTGTAATAACGAACGACGAACGAACATAATAATTTAAAGTATGTCGGATCGACAACGAAAGGCTAGCAGCCTAACGGGGGGCTACATTTCGGCAAAGATGGCCAACGATTTGAGCCCTAGGAAAACTATGGTGGTCTTGGTGATAGTTGTCGGGTGTTTCGCGGTGTTGTGGCCCAAGGTTTTCTATCCCATGCTTTTGGGGTCTGCGAATAGGCATATCAAACCCAGTCCCATGGACAGGACGAAAGGTAGGTTATTAAAAGCATTAAAAGACTCGTAGAGAGGGCGTGGGGCATAATTTTTAGCAAAGTTCATATCAATGAAAAAAGTGAAAACATTATACCTTGGAAATAATAGGTACTTTGATAAAATACGAGATAAAATAATAGATAACAATAGGCGAATAGACAATTTTTTTGTTATTTCTTAAGTGCCTAAATAGGATCATCACTCAAATATACAAATGTCATATTTTTTTAGAATATTTCGGTCGATTTGCTAAAATCATCAATAATGCCATGGTAATTTTCAAACGGCTAGAAATTTACCGGGAGTATAAACTGACGTTACGATTTCCTAGGATCTAACTAGGACCTTCAGACATATTAGTTATCCAATAATTCATAAATTCTCAATTATGTATTGGTGATATTCCGTCGGATATTCCTAATCAGCAGTGATATTAATTCAGTATATTAATTATCACTAGAGGACATTTGAACCGGTAAACGTGACAACACAGCGCACGAATTGTGGGAGGTGTCTCGTCAGTTCTCTGCATTGAGCGCAATGTTGCCATGTCTCCAACACTTACATGATATTTTGATATAGAGTATAATGAATATTTGCACATGCTGATTGCTCGAAAAAGTCAAGAATGAACTATAATATCATGGGTTCCTCCTACTCTGTTTTATTTAACGACATGACTCTAAAGACTTTTCGATAACTGGATTAAAATTGGTGACTTGGCAACCTTGCATCATGAGTGGGAATCTTGGTGGGAATGGAAGATTATCTGACCAATAACGAAACAGCATAAAAACTGACGTTACGTTTCAAATGAGCTTTGAAATTCAACGATTTTGAACAACACATAGACTTATAATTTACATGAAGAAGCGTGAGACGTGTTGCATAAATTAATAAGGTTTCTATCGACACAGTGAAGTAATTCATCATTAGTCCATTCGCCAATTCCGAATCTTGAGCTCTTAAGTGAATTATCCTGAACGATTATAGAGTTCTTGTGAGTTCAGGATCTCTAGTGATGAGATATCTGCCATATGTTATTCATTATAACTTACATCTATGAAAGAAAACATGGGTCTATCCTTCAAAGAGCACAGCTTCATTGAAACAACGACTGTTGCTTTCCTGAAGTGTACAAATAATTCGGAAAAAACTGGTTTAAAATCACTGTTTATACTTGACTATTGAAGACGACACCCTCCTTTGTAGAGAGGCATTACTAACGCCAAAGTTGATACTCTCCCCTCGTAAGGGTCCCTGACGTGATTCCATACACTCACAATGTCGACTGAAGAATGAGAATACGATCTGTATTTGAATTTATTGTTCATGAAAACTTATCTTGGACATCTCCATATTCCATTGATTTGCCTGACAGATGTTGAGATCCTAAGTGCATTTTCCCGAACGATTATAGAGTTCTTGTGAGTACAGGATCTCGAATGAAGAAATATCTGCCATTGTTTACATTGCTTCTGGAATGTCCTGAAATAAAAACTTGGATCAACATTATACTTCTCTGATTGCGCAATATATTATTCATTATAATCCACATCTACGATAGAAAACTATCCATCCTTCAAAGAGCACTGCTTCATTGAAACGACTGTTGCTTTCC